TTTTCCAGTCTAGCCTGTTGGGGCACCATGCCCTGTCTCCAATGTCCACCCTCATCGTTCCCTGGGGATCTTGCGACTCCCCTCCCCTGCTGTTCTGCTGCACCCCCCCAGTGCCCCGCCTCGGCGTGGTGGGGTCAGATAAGGCGCAATTCCCACACTGTGTCTCTGGTGTTGTCCCCCGCAGGGCCATGGGCCAGTGAGGGCGGAACCACTGTTGAATGATGCTCAGCAAAAACTTTACTTGCATGTGATATTAATGATATTGTTTGATTACTTCTATTTAGTCACCTTTCTTTGAAATGGGTACAAACATGAACTTGGCAAGGTCACTGTCTTCCAGAGTTCTTCACATTGGGAGTGAGTTCTTCCAGTGCTTCAGCTTGGTGAAACATTCAATTGATACTCTGTCAATTCCTGGAGCCTTTTTTTCCTGCTGATTTCTACAGTGCAGCTTGGAGTTCTTCCTTCAGTGCCATTGGTTCTTCATCATTTGCTGCTTCTCAAAATAGGCCGTGTTTTTCAACAACTGCTTTTTCATCCAAATTTCACGTTCCAGTCGCCTTGTTATCAACACATCTTGATTGCATAGTTGATTTCAGACTGAAGAAACTGATAGGATTATTCAATTTTTCATCACTGTCTAGTTGTTGGTGCATAAATTTGAATAATAGTTATATTAACAGAATTTCCTGGTATTTGGACACAGATTAGCCTATCACAGACAGCATTGTACATCAAAACAGATCTTGAAATGTTATTTTTGATTGTTAATGTAGCACTTATTCCCCTTGAATTTGTTAGTCCCAGCATAATAAACTATGTGACTGTCCATTTCAAGTCACACAGGATCTCCATCTTTGGGCATTTCATTTCATTTTTGACAGCTGCCAATTTTCCTGGAGTCATACTACTTCGTACATTCCGATTATTAATAGATGTTTATAGCTATTACTTCGTATTTTGCGTTTTGGTCCATCAGTAAATGAAGATCTGAAGGCTTACATCCACATCATTATGTGGGTGACTCTACTTTGAAGAGGCAGCTCTTCCTCAGTCATGTTTTGAGTGCCTTCTGCCCTGAGGGCCTCATCTTCCAGTGCTCTATTCGACAGTGCTCTGTGGCTATCCATGAAATTTTCAGTGGCTCAGAAGTAGACTTAGTCTTCATAGTCTGTTCCTTTCCGGAAGCTCCGCTTGACCCTGCTGTTATTTGAACTACCAGTGACATAGCTTCCAGCATCATAGCAACACGTAAGCCACAACAGTAGGACAAACGGCAGACAGACTGGTGGTGTGATGAACATGCGTGTGCATACATCTCCTTGTGCTGTGCTCCATACTTCTTTAGGAGTAAATACCAACTAGAGGGATTGGAAGGTGTGACTTTGTCTTATTGAGTATATCATGAAAGCTATTTTCTTGTCTGAACCATAAAGTTAAGTAAAATTTCAATTCCTTCATCATGAATTTGAAATTTGCTATTTTTAAGTTAATTGTTCAGTATTAACTCATGACTATTTTTATTTTAGGACTTTGTCATTACTCTTGTTGCCGCATTTTTATGGTTGGTGAGCTCTTCTGCCTGGGCTAAAGCTCTTACAGATATTAAAGTAGCTACTGGTCACAACATTATTCAGGAGCTTGAGCCTTGCGAGAAACAGCATTCAGGAGTGACTTGTTATTTCGACTCTGTGACCAGTATGGGATCCCTAAATGTATCTGTGGTATGTATATATGATTTCTAAATTTCTTTTGTTTCACTTAGAAAAGCCTTACAAGTAATTTAAGAAAAATAAAAGCTTTTTGTTGTTGCTTATAAAATAAATATTTGGACAAATTATATTGATTTTTATTTTTACTTGTCAGAATTTTTAAACTATATAGTGTTTACATTTATAATATTCATGGAAGCAGCAGTCAAGACATCAAACTATGTATATTACACTCAGCCAATCTAAAAGACTCCTTTCAACCAGGACACAGTATAACACTTATGATACACAGTATTTCTCTGGTTTCTTAAGGCTTCCTCACCCCCCACTATCATGATCCCAGTCTTGCCTTTCACTGCGGGCTAGACTGGAGAATGTGCACAGGTACAGGTAAGAGAGAAGAGCTCACGGCACAACGGTATCCAAGAACTGGAATGGGAATAGTGATACCACACTGGTAGGGGGAAGGTGGGGAGAGTAGGGGAGGAAGGGGGAACCAAACCGATCACAATAATCATCACATAACCACACACCCATACACCCTCCAGGGGAATGAACAACAGAAACCGTGGGGGTAGGAAGACGGCGGTTGGTGTGAGATACAGAATATTTATAATTTATCAAGGGATCATGAGGAGGGGGGTAGCTGATACCAAGAGCGCAATAGAAAGTAAATGTTTAGAAAATAATGATGGCAACATGTACAAATTTGCTTGATACAATTGATGTATGGGCTCTTAAGAGCTGTAAGATCCTCCAATCAAACGATCTCTTAATAATAAATAAATAAGACGCCTTTAAAATGTTAAAGTGTAAAGATGGCACTTTGAAGACTAACAAAGTCAAGAATTCAAACTTCTTGAGTTTGATCTGAGCCAGACCCACACCTAGTATTTTAATTTGCCTCATACACATACAAAATATTCAAGATCAAAGAAAAATTATAGTGACAGTGAAGAATGTGGACTACCCTGTGAACCCATTCTGTCTGGAATGTACCTTAGATGACGAGCAGATGACGAGACTTCATCTCACGTCCTTTGGACATGTTCTCAGGAGATACCAAACCCTTGAGAGGCCATCAAGCTTGGTAAAGTAGAAGGGCAGGGAAGAAGAGGAAGCTGCAGGACACGATTGCCAGTAGCTTCAACAGGAGGCGTAGGGACAGTCATGAGGACTGGGCAGTGTTTTGTTCTTTTGTACCCATGACCACTATGAGTAGGAACAAACTTGACGGTACCTAACAATGATTAACTTTTAGGGGTCCTGGTTAATTCACTTAAGGTGACAAAACTAATAAGTTGCAAGCCAACGTTTGAACTTAGAATTGACTTCTATAGCCTCCTCTGCATATGAAAAGTATGGATTGGTGTGTACTTGGTAAAATTTAGCGAATATTTACAAAATGTTAAGTATTTACCCGAGAATTTACCAAAATAGTACCACAATAAATAAATGTGCTATTAAAAATGTACTTACAGAATATCACATCATTAGCGTGACAGTTTTTTATGTGTAGAGGGTTCTGTCTTCAAGAAAATATTTTCAGTATATGAAGTCAGCACTGCTTTCTAAAGCAATTCACCCTATTTTTAAAAAAAGTTTATAATTTAAAAGTCATTGATTTTAGTTATATTGACAGTGGTGTGCATTGACGGTAATATATGAGAACAACAGTATCGGAAATAAGTCTTTGGTATAACAAGTGTACCAAAAGCTAGAAAGCATTTAGCCTTCAGTAGTAAGGTGGTAAGTACTCTCACAAACTTCTGATCCCACTCTTACCCGGCCACCATTTATAAAGGACTCTATTAAGATAGGTTCCTTCCAGTTTCATCATCCCTGAGACTCACTTCATATTGCCCGGTGTATATCTGGGAAGATGACTTTTCAGTTGACTATCACAGGTGAGAACGAAAGTTTTTCTGTGGCTCCTCTTTTTGCCACTTTGAATTAGGGGAGAAGACAGTAAGGGAAGAGGGGAAGGAGAGAACAAAAGGCAATAAACGAGGGCAGTTTGTCACCATTCCAAATGGGTGGAGGAAAGGGCAAGTCCTCACAAGAAGGACTATTGTTCCCCCACCCTGTGAAGCCTGAGTCTAAGAGCATATGTTAAAGGAGCATTTCCACTATCACAGCGCTTCAGTATGACCTGCAGAAATAGTTTCTACAGAATTCAAGCTTTTGCTTTAGTTCTGAAATTGTTTTCAGAGCAGGAGTTGGAAAATTTTCATTGGGAGTCATTTTAAGTCCAAATTTGGTACCTTAAAATATAGTCTTTTTTACTCCACTTTGTATAAAGTGTTGAACCTGTAGGGGTATAAAAAACAATCTATTTCCATTGAGTTAATTCTGACTCATGTTGAACCTATAAGATATGGTAGAATTGTCCCATAAAACTTCTGAGACTAAAATTTATGGAACCAGACTGCTCTATCTTTCTCCCACAGAGAAGTGGCTGGTGGGCTCAATCACTGAGGTGTTAGCAGCTGAGCACTTCTGGACTCCTTCAAGTATTTAAGAAAAAGCGCCAATTATTTAAGGGAAACTGGGATGGCAATTAATTTTTAAGCACATGTTAGATTTTCACATGTATTTTTCCCTCCCACAGATCATTGGATTTCTGAATGTGATACTTTGGGCAGGAAATGCGTGGTTTGTGTACAAGGAGACCAGCTGGCACAGTCCATCGAGTATTGCTGCTCCACATGGCCAAGGGGGCATTCCACCTCCTGCCGGAATGTGAGGAGAGGAGGAAATACATTGCATAAAACATGTCTGTATTATGACCTGTTGACAGCATCTTGAGAAGCAATTTTTTGTTTCTGTAATAAAATAAATGTATTTTTCAATAAATTGCTGGGTTTTAAATTTTGCTGCCTTTTTACTTAAACCGTGTGCCTTTCCTAGAGTTTGAGATGCAAATGTAGTCTCATGTAAATTTGCAACTTCAGGGCCTTATGAGTTGTTACACAATTTTATGTGAATAATACATTTCTTCACTAAGTTTTTTGCTTTCTGAAGTGTTTACACCTTAAACCTTAATGTTTATCTTTACTCAGAAAACAATTATATTGACATGTAATAGGAAAAAAACCCTTATTTGGAATATACACTACTCTAACTTTGTACAGATCATATATCTAAGACCTCTCTCTTTGTTTAAGGAAGTCTTGATTATGGAAATCAGATTTAGAAAAACTTCACTAAAAATTTGTATCTGACAATTGTTCATGTTAGGGAATTTTTTTAATTGCAAAGACTGGGTATATGCTTTATTTCTGTTTTTCTGAATGACTGCCATACTTAATAGGTGTTCCAAAAAGAGATTTGGAAATTTCTGATAGAGTTAAGTTTTAGCAGTTCTGTTGTGTCAGGTATAAGCTTTCATTACGCTGTTTGCTCAATAGGTGTGCTATGTGAGTAGATGAACATGAGTCACCTTGGCATTCTCATAGTGAGATTTGCTGTCCTTTGTTCTGTGCTACTTAAGCATGGATTGAGACCTTGTCCCCTTCCAAGTAAGATGAAATCAGACCCTGTTTTTGGCAGACCCCATTCAGTGTTCAAAGAAAATTAAGATTACTTTGGATGCATTTAATGGTTAGTCAATGAAGTTGCTATTTTCAGTTTAACATTGATATTGTGATCTAGATTTCATATTTCTTGTTCATTTTTATTTCACAATTTCACAAATGGATGATTAAGTAATTATGCATTGTAAACAAAGGAACCTAGGTGAGCTATATTATGGGTGCAGTTTTTATATGCACATTTGGGTATAGTTTGAGTACAGGGCTTACTCACAGTTTGCTTTCTAATCTTTTTGTTGTACAGGAATCCAGATCTCCTTGCAAATTGATTGTTTATATGTGAAGCATATCTTGCTATTGGCTTCTTTGTGTTGCTTTTGTTTATGACAATAATTGTCGATATGAGAATGTGTATCTTTTATGCAACCATCTTAATAAAAAAGTTGAATGAAAGTGTGTACTGGTTATCTTACAAAGAAACCTGCCTCTGAAAGGCATGAGTAATGAAAAATGGACTGCTTTTCAAAGCAGACTAAAATGTCACCCTTGTTTTCATTAATGTTTAACAAGTTGTCAAACTAAAACTGCTTTGGAGACTAGATTCATCCTTTTTTCTTTAAATGCTTGTTTGTAACTTTAAGGTTTTCCTGATAAACCTTTTTATGATGGTCTGATGAAGTCGCAGAGATGACTCGATACGTCAGAATGCATGTTCTGAAGCCAATCTGCCTGAACTTGAATCTCCACTTCCCTACTTACTAGCTAGATGTCATTGGTAGCTGCCAATAAGTCAGCTTCTGACTCCAGGTGAAACCTTGCGCTGGGGCCAGGCCAGGAGAGTTGTAGATGGGGCCATTATGATCTCTAGTGTTTCCATGTCCAGATTTTTCAGTAGATCTCTTGGTTTTTCCTCCTAGTCCAAGTCCCATTTTAGTGGAGAAGCTCTATGGAAACCTGCGTAGTAACAATTCACGGTCCCCACTGGTGTAGTGGCTGCACCAGGAGTGCTTCCTCCAGCAATCAGACGTGCATCTCTTGCTTGGAGGTGAGAATTCTACCACTGAACCACCGCTTACCCCACTAGCTAGTTAACCATCAGCAAATTGCTTAACTTCTGTGCCACAATGTCTTTACCTGAAAGATGGGTATAAGGAGAATATTGCTCTGAAAGAATGGTTATGAGGATGAATGGCAAAAAATGTGAAGTTGGTGGAACAGTATTCAGCATGTAGTAGGCACTCTACCTGTTAGCTGTCATTGAGAGCATCTAGACCCTCAGTTTGGAGTCCCTGGGGCTTGGAGAGGGGAGGGAAGAAAGAGCCAGACTAGTGTTGGCTAGAAAAAGGTGCAAACTTTGGCACTATGTGGATTCCTTATATTCATCAGAGCCATAGATGTTTAAGTGTGTTTTTCTACTGGGGGTGGTAATAAGGTCAATGACTTCTAAAGAATACAAGGGGGTACCCAGAAAAATTCAAAACACTCCCCCCTTCAGCTATGTATTTAAATTTTTCCACGAAACCATTTTCAAGGTACTGTCCATTACACTTACTACATTTGTCAAATGTGCTGTTCCATTCTTGGTGATCTTTATCAAACTCATCTGTTTGGATAGCTGATAGCACCTTCCTCGTTTTCTTCTTTTCTATGTCATCAAATCACTGCCCTTTCATGTCCTTCATCCATGGAAACAAAAAAGTCACATGGAGTGAGGTCAGGTAAGTAAGGTGCCTAGGGCAAGAGAGGCATGCTGGTTTTTACCAAAAATCACACACTGAGATGGCTGCGTGTGGCAAAAGGCAGTCTTCTCATCTGCCACAAATCAGGGCTTTTTGTGTCACTGTTAGGCAATTTTTTCAGAACCTTTAAATGGAAAGCTCGATTAGCAGTGTGACCTGGTGGAATGGACCTGCATATGTCGGGGTACCCCTCAGAAAACAAAAAAGCTGCTGGGCAGAGTTTTTGTATTAAGCATTTTTCCCGGTAAGCAAACAATGAGCAACTCTGAGCTAGTGCACTCAGTGGTGTCACCTGAGAAGGTTCTCTGGTCACTGTGAATTTTTTTGTAAAAGCAGTTTTGCTCAAACCTCGTGTTTTGTGATGGCTTATTTAAGAGAACAGTATATGGCTGTGAAGTTTTGTTTCCCTGTTTGGGAAAAATGCTGCAGAAACTTGTGATGTTGAACACAGTTTATAAGGACAGCACTATGGGAAAAAAAAGTGTACAAGTGGTTTTCTCATTTCAAAAAAGGTGAAATGTTGATCAATGACAAACCTCATGCTGGGCGCCTGTCAGCTTCCGAACAATCAGGGAAAAAAGCCAGAGTTTTCTATGTCAAAGCCCTTGACATGGTGTAAATCTAACAATGCAAAATTATTATAAAAGAGAAACCCTGCCTTCATAAGTGTATGGACCAATGTGAGGATATTTTGAAAAACAATAGGTGCGCACTTCTGTGTTTTTGTTTCAAGGTTCCTGTGGTTCTATAGCAATATTTTTTGACTTAGCCTTGCCAATGAGTTGGATTTGACTCATTGGTAATGAGTTTGGTTTTGGGTTTCTATTGCCCTTATTCTTGCAAATACATGATGTTATTGGACTAATACCAATCTGATCATTTTGAAATAGGGACCTTGATGTGGTTTTTACTCGTATTTTTTCTGATTGCTATTCACATTAGTGATATTTTTAATACGGCCCATTTAGGTTTTTTATGGTGTTTTGCTTTTTCCTATTGATTTGAAGAGTTCTATATATTTGTGTGGATCATAACAAACTAGAAAGCCTTGAGAAGGATGGGAATTCCAGAACACTTCGTCGTGCTGCTGTGGAACTTGTACATGGATCAAGAGGCAGCTGTGTGTGGAAGAAACACACCAGCCTGTGTGATCATGAGGTTTCAATGGGATCAGGCATCAAAGACCCAGAACAAAAAAAATCGTATCAATGTGAATGAAGGGGAGTGCTGAGTGGAGACCCAAAGCCCATCTGTAGACAATTGGACATCCCTTGCAGAAGAGACACAAGGAAGAGACAAGCCAGTCAGGGTGCAGTATAGCACTATTGAAACAACTTTCCTCTAGTTCTTTATTGCTTCCTTCCCTCCCACTATCATGATCCCAATTCTACCACACAAATCCTGCTAGACCAGAGCATGTACATGGATACAGATAAGAACTGGAAACACGGAATCCAGGACAGACAAACCCTTCAGGACCAATAATGAGAGTAATGATATTAGGAGGGGAAGGGGAAGGTGCAGGGAGAAAGGGGGAAACGATCACAGTAATTTACATATAACCCCCTTCCCTGGGGGATAGACTACAGAAAAGTGGGTGAAGGGAGACATCGGTTGTGGGATTTCTCCAAAGTTGTCTCCCGAAATATATGCCAAACCTAGCTGCCTGCTACACATGGCAAATGACTATATACTTGGACGTCAACAAAAGCAGGTCAGACTTTATTCTCCCTGGGGGTTATCAGCCATCTAAAGCAATCAGACTGTATAGTCCCATTCTGAGTAGGGCCACTCCTGATAAGGATAGTAGATTGTTTTTCTGAAGGAGAGCCCAGGGGCATCAAGCCCACTCAAGGGTGACTAAGGTTAGGCTGCCATATTGAGTCTAGGGTCCGCCCATCTTGTCACATGTATATCCCTAGTCCTTCCCCTTCTTATTGCATGTACACCCCTAGCTCATTCCTTTCCTGTCATGCTTATGCCTATTGTACAGCCCCTTCCTGTGACACGTGCTTACCTGTAATCACGCCCCTTAAGCATATATGGGCCTTGGCCATAAATAGAGACTCTCCTGCCCTCTCTGCCCGCACTGTGCATGGACCTGGCTGGTGAGATCCTGGCCATTCAGGAGGTGAGCATGCTCCTATGAAATGTGTCTGACTCCTTTATTTTACCTTCTCTTCTACCTCTCTTATTCTCTCTGACTTTACTATAATCTTTATATATCATAACCATACAATTGCACCTTATCAGACCTGTGATACAGTTGTTAGGGGCTGGTTTCCCCCACAATCGGTTAATGTAAGACATGAAAAAATAACAATTTATGAATTATCAAGGGTTCATGAAGGAAGGAGAGTGGGGGGGGAAATGAGTTGATACCAAGGGCTCAAGTAGAAAGAAAATGTTTTGAAGATGATGAAGTCAACAAATGTACAAATGTGCTTGACACAATGGATGGATGTATGGATTGTGATAAGAGGTTGAGCCCCCAATAATGATTAAAAAGGAAAAAAAGAGGCAGTTGTACAAACAAAACGGGAATACTACATGGTTTAAAATCGGGAAGTGTGTCAGTTGTATCCTCTCACCATACGGAATCAATCTGTGTGCAGAGCAAATCATCAGAGGCTGGCTTATCTGAAGAACAATGTGCCATTAGGATTGGTGGGAGGCTTACTAATCTATAATGCACACATGCTACAACCTTGCTGCAAGTGAGAAGGACAGAACCAAGTCAAGTCAAAAATGAAAGCATGGACAACTTTTCAATCTCCTTTTATCGGGAAGAATTTTGTTTTCTTTCCATTGAATTGTAATTCATACTGAAGTTTGCAATCCTTGGTCTTTATCAGCAAGTGCTTCACATCCTCCTCGCTTTCAGCAAGCAAGGTAATGTCATCTGTATATGATTGTTGTTAATAAGTCTTCCTTCAATCCTGATGCCTCGTTCTTCAGATAAACCAACTTCTCTTCTTATTTGCTCAGCATACAGAATGAATAAGTATGGTGCGAGGATACAACCCTGAAGCACACCATTCTGGATTTTAAATCATGCAGTATGCCTTTGTTCCGTTCCCGTAACTGCCTCTTGATCCATGTACAAGTTCTGCATGAGCATAATGAAGTGTTCTGAAAGTCCCATTCTTCTCAAGGCTATCCATAGTTTTTTATGGTCCACACTATCGAATGCCTTTGCATAGTCAATAAAACAAGTAAACATCTTTTTTAGTATTCTCTGCTTCCAGCCAAGATCCATCTGACATTAACCATAATATTGCTTGTTCTACATCTTCTTCTGAATCCAGCCCAAGTACCTGGTAGCTCCCTCTCGTTTACTACTACAACCATTGTGGAATGATCTTCAAAAAAGCTTTATTTTTTCAGCAAAAGTTTGTTAGTAAATGTAGCATATATACCAAAAAACCTATGAAGTGTGCACGTACAATTCTCAGACCACACAACAGAACATTGCCAATGTCCTGCAAAAGCCCCACACTCCCCTTCCCAGATTGTATCCCCACTCCTAATCGTGCACTAGTATCTCCATTTCTTTGAGCTTTTAGCACCTTAAATAATATGTACTTTTTATTGCCTGCTTTTAAAGTTTCTAAAGCGCTCAAGTTTTCTTTGGCTTACTTTCTAGACTCACCTTTTTTTTTTAATGCATCCATGCTGATGAATGTAACTGTAGTTTATTAATCTTCACTGATG